ACATAAGTGTACGAGCGTGTTTCTGTGCATGCATGTGCGCACGATAATGTGCAGGTACGTGCGCGCATGTGTGTGTTTGTGTGCGTGCGTGTGTGTCTGCCAATCGTGTCCAAAAGTAATCAGGAGATTTTCTAAGAAACTCGGTTTTCGTGGCTCAATACATAAATCATTTTCAATCAAGAAATACTTGCTACTTCATCACTTCTTAATTATATGACGCGTCTTAATATAAAAACGATACATTGAATGCATGTGCGAAAGATCGTCGGGGATGCCTCCACTGTTGGTCGGGTCTTCCCAGTCCATGTCCAGTCCGTCGAATCCGTATTTCTGGAGGAGTTCAACGGATCTCGCCAGGAATGGCGCCTTTTTTGGGTGGATCTGCCGCCACCTGCGAAGCTTAACCCTTTTAAATTGGGAGGCAAAAAAAGCTTTTAAATTCCTCGAAAAGCGAGGTTGGACTCCAATAGTATCCCGCCTTTTACGATACTGTAATTGCATTCCATTATTCATATTTATCTTGTAGAGAAAATGAAACTTGAAATAGTTTCTTTGGATTCCCGAGAGTAGTTGATAGATCCCTCATTCCATCCTCCGGCGGCTAAGATGGTATTCGATTCCGGATTCTTTTTCTTCAGAGCGTTGAATCGTCGGTGAGCATCTGTAACACACAAATGTAAAGGGGTTTTGGTGAGGGAATATTTCCCCTTATTTAGTTCCCTTGGCTGCTGTCGCAAAAAAAAAAAAAAAACGGAAAGCCCTCACCACTAGGCACTCCGGTTTCTACGTGCAGGGCGTTAAATCGCTGACAGTCATCGAAACCAACCCAGTTCTTTCTGCTCGTTTGCCTTTCATCGCGAATCGCTATCACTGTGTATCGACATATTTGTATATCTGCGATGAGCCGGGTTTCGCAATTTCGGAAAACAGGCTAGTCACCTTTCCCGTTGCCTTGTTCGTCGACGATATAATTCCAGGGATGAAGGACCTTCATCTTATCGTTTTCGAGCCCCGCGACTCGATAGACGAGGTGGGTGCAGAGGGTCGGGTCGATCTGCTCCGCGTCGAATCATCTCCAGGCCGATAAACCGCCCAGCTCCAAGAAGATCTTGGATTCTCTTGCAGCAGCGATAACTCCATTGAAGATGAGCTAATTGTTAGCATTCGGAATTTTCTGGAGTGGAACTGAGCTAACTTCTCATCTGAACCGATCCAGCGCCGACGGAGAGCAGAGCCGAGAGCAGCAAGATGCAGAATTTCATCTTCGCACTGACGAATTTTGCAGAACTGTAAAGTCGAAAAGGAGAAATGTGCAGAACTGCACCGGTCCATCCCCCGAAAGGGCGGGGAAGGAATGAGGAGAGACCCGCTGAAGGAGGGAGGGAGGGAGGGTGGGGTGCTTTCAGGCTTCGTCGCTCCTCGTAAATTCGAACAGGAAAAGGGCGGCGATGAAATGGGATGTGACCCGCTTCTCGGATCCTGACTCGCTTGGTGCTCAGAGGAAAAGCGTTCGGGTTTTAGTCCCTCAGGCACGCACCTGTTTCCACGCGAGACCGGCGATGCCCCATTAGTGCTTGTCTCTCTCGACGTCGATTCATTTCTCTCACCCGAGAAAAAATTCCCTGGAGGCATTGCCTCGACAATGTGAACGTAAACAAAAAGAATTTCAAGGAAAGTGGGATGTCTTTTCAAGTTTGTGAGTCCCTTTAACGTGCTTCTATATTTTTTTTAACTTGTGGGAATTCTGCGGAAATTTTAACGGGAAAGAGAAACTTCAGATATCCGAAAATGTCTGCTATCCAAAACGCCTCAAGGAGAAAGGACGGCACTGTTCAAAAGCTGTCTTTTTATGCCTTCTTGAAATATGCATGCAATATTAATTACGTTGCCGATTCCTAGGAATATTAAATTGACGTTCGCGAAAAGGATAGTTTAACATCTTTTTCAAGTAGAGCCTCTTTTATCAATAGGCTTTGGCTGCGCCTATTACCTTTCTTTAATCCCTTCCCGAAGCAAAATTCAACCTCCTCGTATTCCTCTCTGAGAGCATCAACACGAACAAAATTTAGCGTACTTCTTCCTCTCTCACCACAGAATCGCTCCAGCAAATTTGAAGCTCTATCTCCCCGGGGTTGTGGAGAACACTGAATCTCGTCTTTGGAGGATATGAATTTTCATTCCTTTTTTTTCTCCCCCCCCCCCGGGGTAGCCACTCTTGGGGGGGGGGGGGGGGGGGGGGCTGGTTTTTTTTCCCCCCCCCCCCCCGGGGTGGCCACTTTTGGGGGGGGGGGGGGGGGGGGTTTCGAAGGAAAGAGACCAACCATAAGAAATATATTGACTCGTGGATGATGAAAAGTGGCTTTTTTTTTATGCTCCATTTCGCCATTAAAAAAATGAAATTAACTGTCGTTCAATTAGGCTTTGAGTGCCTGCTCCGGTACCGTCCCCCAGTGTTGCCGGATACCGTGCCGAAAGCATGCAAGATACAGGACTGTTTCAACCTTCGTGTTGGCGTTTGGATCTCCTTTTTTTTTTAAATGTATGATACATTTTTGTGCTGAGTTCATAAGTTGAGCTAAGAATGAAACAGGGGTTAGGAGTTATTGATCGATGTGATGGGATATGCAGATATCTTATCCGGACATCCCTGAATTACAAGGATGGCGCTTACCATGGATTGCATGCTTCTTCAAGGCATTCTCTTCTCAGACGTATTCGAGATGGTTCCAGGAACTGCAGATAGGCCTAACGTTCCACGTCTCCCTGGAATGGTTCATGAAACGCGAAACAGGCCTCAAATCGGTCGAACGTTACACGTCCTCAACCTGATGTCTCCAAGACCACGGATTCACCCTCATAGGTCAAATTGTAAGTTGAGAAATGAGTTTTTATTGAAAGGAAAAAGGTAGGCCTTGGCGTGACCTAAAGGCAATCTGTTGGTTAGGTCTAGGCCTAACATTAGTGATGCCCATATGTGAGGCCAGGGGAAGAGTGTGTTGAAGAAAGGGAAAGCCATTGAAAATTGGTTTCCACATTACTTTATTATTACATAATTGTATCTGATGTAAAAAAAGCATGATGCCACTTGGAGTCGTCCTGTCAAAGGCCTCGTGTGCAGCAGCTTGGGGTTTTGCACGGGACACAAATAAAGATTAGACCGACCCGATCAATGGGATGGCCGATGGCCCGACCCGTTGGCCTGGCCAATAGGGAAGGGAGATTGTCTGATCACGTGATCATAGCTCCGCCCCCATATTCATCGTCTGACTTTTCTCCCCCTACTCGCACGTGTTGCATCGCGCCAGCACAGCGTGGTCATGGTGGATTCTTCCTCGATTCTTGTAGGCCTACTGATGATCTTCCTGATTGCTCGCCTAACTGCTAAGTTTAGGTTAATTGTCCCATCTATGGAGGGTCGTTCAAACCTAGTTGGAAACAAGAGAGGCTCAGCCCATGGCTACACCTTCGTATAGCCCTCGCCTTGCCCAGCCTGAAACCGAGGAATGGATGATTGCTGCGCATTTTTATAAAATTTCTCCTGAAAGTACCTCCTCTAATGCTTCATGCATGTCCAAAACGAATTTTTATTTGCATCTAGGGTAGCCAAGAAAAACCGCCATGGATCCCTTCTGGTAAGAAACACAAGCAAATAAGGACATCAGCGCTGAAGACTTGGTCCATTTAGATATGAGCAACGACGCACGATACAATACCATGCAACAGTCCTCAGGCCGACCAGAAATCCTGGAAAGCCAGGCGTCAGCCATGATGGCACGGCCTGCTTATCCTTTCTTCCCTATGCTAATATTGTCGTCCAAAACTAAAGGGGCCAGGTTTATGCCTCCTGTTACATTCCTTCAAATGATGATGCGATTCGGGAGATGAGCAACGATTGTCCTTCAACAAGAACATCATGGTACTCCAGGCGTCAACGTTTCGTAGGATCTAGGGCACGGTCCAACAGTAAAGTCAAACAAGTTGCTACAATCTTAGAAAAAGGGGAGCGATTTTTCTCAAAATAGAGAGTAAAACCGCAAAATCCAGCTTCACTCCCCTTTCACTCTCGGAAAGGAGCGTATTTGCTCCATCACCAAAGAGTAGAATCGCTCCCCTCAGAAGGAGATAGGAATGTCATGTAAATACGCAAATCCTCATATATACTTTGTGCCACTTTCGCTCTCGTTTTTTGTTCTTGGACCTCAAGGACTTGAGGTCCAAAGGATAGATAGAAATAGGTAGGAAACTAAACAATACAGGCGTTGACCAACCTCTGACTGTACTGATTAGAGAACACGTCAGAGGATGGACCACCTCTTCCGGTTCCATTAAGTGTCCGCGATATCAGTCCTTCTTTTCCTCATTCTCCCATCAAGTTGAGGAGGTAATAGAATTGAGTTAACGGAATATGTATCCCAGGTCTTCTCTGCAGATGTAACCCGTCCGATTTTCAAATGGGTTCTCGTCAGGAATACGAGCTTAATTATGGCCTTTTTGAATCTGTCTTGGATATGTGGATAGCAAATGACGAAACGTCCGTGTTTATAGATTCCCATAATGAAACGAGGCGAGATACACGGCGAGGTACTAAACAATCCTGCGGGGGACGATTCCAGGGAAAGAGGGAAGGGAACTTTTGTGTAGTGTGCGAAAAGGGAGACCCTTACCTCCATCTAGTGGTCTGGCGAAAAACTTCAATGTGTTCACTTCATTACGAGCTCTGAGGGAGCATTCGGTGAGTAATAAGAAAGTACATTTGAAATAGCTCACGTAGTGCTTACTTCTTACTCCCTAAACGCTCGGAATTTCCTAAGAGGGTAGTCACGTGACCCGAGCCTTTCAAATCTTTCCAGTGTGTCGGCCAGAGAGTTTCGAGTCGGTTGCGGGTCGAGACTAAATTGCTTTCGGTTTCGGGCAGATCGACCCGCGCAGGCCTCCGAAAGACGCAAAATAACGAAGAAACGTCACAACTCATGATGAAGAGGATTTTTCCGGTCTGACTTTTACAGTTCCTTCCGCGACTTCGACGATCGGACTCGGAATCGTTTCAAAGTTTTTATTTGGCTCTCGGGCGACAGGGATTCTGCATCAACATTCGGGGGAAGCTTGTGGCCAGATGCAGTTATCCGCAAACCAAACCTGCAGAGAGACGACGTAAAATTAAATCTAAAATACATTTTTGAAGGGAATACGTCCTAGAAGTGACTCACGAGTCCATTGGGACAGTGCATGTTATAGATGACCCAGTCGTTAAAGTGAGGCTGGCAGTAATAATAATCCGGACTGCAAGTCCCAGCCGGGAAGTACCCGGCATGAGAACACTCTCCCTGTCCACTGGAGGTGGTGGAAGGGCTCGGAGCCGAAGTACTCGTGGTACTAGTACCGGTGGTACTCGTGACGGAGGAATCCGCAGTCGTGGCTTCGACGTGCCCCCCATCGAGGACTCTCTTGATGGCGTTGAGAATGGGATTATTTCCCAATCCGCATTTCCCGCGGAAATCGTCCGTCTCCACGGACCAGACCATCCCACCGGCCAGATTCAAGTCCACGATCAGCTGAGCCTTTTTTTTTTAACAAGAAAAAAACCGTTCGTGTCGGCGAGAAAGCGCTTAAGGAAGCATGGAATACGAGCAGGAAAGGGAGGAGCAGACCTTGAGGCTGATGCTCTCGATGTCGTCGTATCCGAACCACTGCCTGGAGTTGAAGGTGCAATAAGGGACTTTCACGTCGTGGTTCCAATGCCTCTGAAAGTCTCCGTATTGCTTCTGGATCTCGCAGATCTACAAGATATTTCGATTCCAAGAATTACTATTAAAGAATTTTCCTAACACGACCTAGAAGCGAGAGAAAGGTTAGACGCCCGTTACCAAGCGACGGGCACACGGAGAGTCATTGCGTCACCGCTCGCGGCGTTATCGCTCGGGACGTTATCGTTCGTGACGTCATCGCTCCTGACGTCATCGCGTCCTCGCCCCATTATCGACCGATATACGTCGGGCGCATTCGATCGTTTGCACAGAGGGTCCCGCTTCGATCACCTCAACCGACCTTACGGTATCGCGGAAAAGCATCGTTTACCGAAAAGGTAAGCATCGTTACCTCGTTGAAGCCGAGGATGCCAGCCTCCCTCGTGTAAGGCCCGGCCATGCCAGCCTGCGAAGCGGGAGCGTAGAACCCGTTCTCTTCCGGTCTGTCCAGGGAGAAACCTCGTCCGTAGGTCGGCATTCCCATCACCAGTTTTTCCCTCGGGGCTCCCAGGCTCAACCAGTAGCGCATGCTGTAGTTCTAAGGAAAACGATCGACTTCGAGAGAGAGAGGTCCGGGAATTTTAGGCGAAGTTTGACGCTCGGGCGACTGCACTCACGGCATTGAAGTATCTGTTGTCGCCGGATTGATCGAGTGGATGGGCGTAGAGAGGGGCATTGTGGTGAGTGAATGGCTCCCAGGCTCCGTGCATGTCGTACACCATCACGCTGATGATGTCGAGTGACCTAGAGCATTTAACACGCGTCCTTGTATTCGTCGATTTCGTGACGTGGATCGATAGAGCGACTCGCACGATTCGATTCCCCGATTAGCCCTTTCCTGTTGCTTACGGGCACAACGCGAGAGAAAAATAAAGTATAAAAAAATATGAAAAAGGACGTACTCGGCCATGGCAGGGACGTCATAGGCGGTGTCGATGGTGCTCTTGCCGGCCGAGACGGCGGCTGTCAGCAAGAGCCCGTGGGGCCTGAAAGCTGCCTTCAGCTCTCGCAGCAGCTGCACGAAGTTCGCCTGAAAGCGGCAGAAAGGTGGAGAGTTATTTCCAATTTCTCTTTACGTCCGGTGGAGGGCGGAGTGTGGAGACCTTGTCGGCGGGGGTGCCTCCTCTGTTGGCCGGGTATTCCCAGTCCATGTCCAGTCCGTCGAATCCGTATTTCTGGAGGAAGTCCACGCAGCTCGTCACGAATGTCGCTCTCTTGGCGGGATCTGCTGCCATCTACGACATCCAACATGGTGCATTCAGAAAAAAAAAATATACATATATATATACCTAGTATATATCAATGGGTTTATAAAGAAAAAGCTGTATCGATTTGAATGCGTGACCTCGATGGCGTATGCCATTCCTCGAACGAAACTTGGACCGAAATTATTCTCCCCTCCAACACGAGAAACAGAGTGCCTTTCCCATGAATCATGAACCATTGTTTACATCCTACGCTTCCTGCAAATTATGACTCATTGTTATGCACAGTGTCACAGCCGGATACACGTTCCGGCATGTTTCATTCTGTCTTCCTTCAATCTGGATTTTGAATAATGAACACAACACTTACGAAACGTCCACCGCCCACATGGATTTGGAACCAGGTGGATTTTGGCGATATTTCCATCTGTTAGAGCGATGTCCACCCGGGGGAAAATCCACCTTGCTCGAAACACATGTGCGCGAATGGCTAAGTGGATTCACCAAATCCACCCCTATCCACCTGGTTGGTGGATAGGGGTGGACGTTTTTTAACGGAATCTAAGATGTGTCGTGAAAGTTTCCCTTTTAACTCGGAAATGATGTGAAGATTCATTTGAAACGTTTGACCCAAAACGTGTCAACTTCTCTCTCGCTTCGATCGATGCGTCCAAAACTGTCAGGAATGCATCGATTTCCCGATGCGGAAGCAGTTGCAATCGTGGTTGTCGCGCGTATAACTTCGTCCTGGTTCTAAAATCGTTGCATTATTTAAATTTGATCAGTCTTCGTCAACTGCACGATTCCGCGTCGATCGAGGGAGATTAAGGATTCAGTAATGCCTACTAATTTCCTTCTGAGTTTTTCCCTTATTTGTTGTCTCATGTGCAACGAGCGTACGTGTTCCAACGATCTACGTAAATTACCTAGGCTCACGATAATGAAGGATTTTTTAACGGCTGGAATGATACCTGGGAGTACTTGGTGGATCCCTCGTTCCATCCTCCGATGGCCAAGATGGTCTTCATTCCCGGGTTCACGGTCTTCAACGCGTTGAATCGTCGGTATGCATCTGGAACACGCAACAGCATTTCTGACGCTTTCGGGCCGAGAAAACGACGAGTCACCCCGTGGAAAGGCGCTCGACGTCACATATTTTTAAAATGTTCTCGTCCGATTCGCGTTCGTTCCTGAGATTTTCGAGCTTGTCGGTTCCTTACCTTTCCCGGAGCCCCACTCGTCGACGAGTTCGTTCCACGGATCCAGAGCGTGGATCTTGTTCTCGTAGCTGAGCCCGGCGAACCCGAAGACGAGGTGGGTGCAGAGGGTCGGGTCGATCTGCTCCACGTCGAATTTCCCGTCTCCGGGCCGATAAACCGCCCAGCTCCCGTAGTAGCAAACGAGCAGCTTCCCGCTCCTCGATTCTGCACGAGTGGGAAAAATCGACGCTCTTGCGGCAAGTTTTCGGGGTTTCGGCGAGAGGCGAAAAAGTGCTCACCTCGTTTCTGAGCCGGTCCGGCTTCAACGGCGAGAAGGGCCGAGAGGAACAACAACGCCAACTTCATCTTTCGATCCAATTTCAAACCTGCACAAAGAAAAACGAAATATAAACAAACATACAGGAAAAAGAGAAAGAAAAAAAATGGGAACCGACCCGTTCGAGTCGACTGCACGCCGAATCACTTGCCTCCCCGCTTCGTCCTCGTCCCTATATATGGGGGAATAAAAAAAAAAGGGTCCCCGATAAACGCGGATGCTTCCCATGGCCGCCGTGAGTCACTTCGGATCGATCCCGATGTTTTCCTTTCCCAAAGCCACACGCCGGGATCTCTCGTAATCCCCGTGGACTCACGCCCACCGTCTCCCTTGGAGTCGGTGAGCGATTTTCCCAGCCGAGTCGAAACCGTCAGCCCACGTTGCCTTAACAAAGGATTTAGTGCCTTTATCTCTCGTTATCGACCCTCGTGTCGGCGGCGGGGGAGGGGGGGGGGGGGGGGTGGAAGGAACTTGAAAGATGAGAGTAAACTCTGGGAAATTTCGTAGCTGCCGTCCCCTATTATCTTCGAAGTGCTTTGAAATTCGCGGGAACTTGAAACGTACATCGTTCCCAATTTTCGATAATTTCTGTAAACATTTCCGCGAATCTGGCGACGGCCTCTCGATCGCTCCAACCGAGAACCCCTCGACGCAAACCAGCAACGGCTCGTCGCGACGACGCCCTCGCGGAAGATCGTTCGGGGCGAAAGGCAGACGCGAGTTGGCGGGGATCCCCGCGCGTTGCGCTTTTGACGCGACGGGTGTCGTCGGTTCCGCCGGTTTCGTTCGCACGGGCTCGCCGGAAATCGCGTTACGAGAGGCCGATCGGGCGGGGTTTTTCCTGCTGCCAATGTAACTGTGCCGAAAAAAGAATCCACGCTCGTCGATTGTCACCGAAGGAATTTCTCGCGTTTTCTTTCAGTTTCCGCTTTCCTCGGTCGCATGAAGCGAGCGCGAAGCTATCGATCTTTCATCTCTCGCCTAAAATATCCGTGCCGCATCGCAGATTACGTGTTGAATACCCTGGAACGATCCGACGGATTCCGAGGACACCTTTAACTCCTCCCGCGTGACAAAGCGGACGTCGAATCGATTCCGCCGTTCTTCACCCCTGCGTCGCGACCCATCATCAGCCGAACGTGGGCCAACATCGACGATCTCGTTTTCATCTGCTCGTGTTTCCTGTCTCCGACATCGTCATGATGTTATTTTTGGACTTCCTGTCTTACACTGTCATTTGGAGGCCAAAAATGTGTCGATTAAAAAAAAGGACCTTTTTTGACCTCTAAAATAAAAGGTGTTTTGAAAAAGTTAAAATTTCACAATCTTGTGACAAATTTATTTCTTAGTTCAAGATAACCAAAAACTGCAGCTTGAGATGATACTGAAACATGAAGCTTAATCAGGCAAGATAAACTCCCAACTGTCCACGAGGGCCCCACTGCATTTATTGCAACATAAAGGAAAGTGCAAAATCTCAAAATTTACCTTACTAGAAAGCTTCAAAATAGTGAAGTTGCAGGAAAGCAGTCCTACTTCTCCCCAAATTGCCATCGAACATTTTTAAATCATCTCATTTTCAATTTTCATTTTTATTTTTTAATTACGCTGCTCATAAGCAGGAAGCGACAAATGAGTGCATGAGTGGACATGCACTGTCCTAGGGAGAATCTAGGTTGACAATAGCAGGAGGGAAAATTGGGAACCTGGTGCATTCTGACGAATTGACCCTCGGTAGAATGCGACGCAAGGGATCAACTAGATTTGATATCTGCCATTCCCATAGAGACCTATGGGAAAATTGTTGATATTTCTCTCAGCTTGTCACTATTTCCCTTCTTTTTCAATCAGACTGTACGCCGTCGCCATAACAACCGGAGTTTTCTCTGACATCCACCCTTTGCGCATGCGCAGCCGTCAGCATCGGTTGGGGTGTTGCTCACCGAATGAAGACTGCCAGTTCTTTCCCAGCCCTCGCCGCGTAAGGATCCGTAAGTGACAAATGGAAAGAGGGGCTCCCCGAGGCCGAATTTCAGGGTTGCTAGCTAGATTCGTGAAATGTCGCATCTGGTAATCCTACACGTTCTGCCCTTCCTCCATCTTTGAATATCTACTGTTTCAGTACAAGATTTTGATCGTGGAGATTCCATATCTGCAAACGTTGGAATTAATCATGCGATTCTTTCGTTCCATTTGTTCTCATTTGCCATAGCAATGTAATGTGCGTGATGAAGTACATCTTGACGTTATTGTAAACTCTAATAAAAAAGTTTGGGATTTAATGAAATCACTATGATCCGAGTAAAGATCTAACATTGTTTGAAAAAGAACATGTGTCTTTATTAGCGCTAGCGACACCTTGGCCTTGAATACAGCTCTATGTTATTTATTTACTTTTCAGGATACAGGTTTTCAGAAGAACCTTCTTCCTATTTTAGAATAGCACCAGTATCCTTAACTTTTTTATAGTTTATCTTCAGAACCAATGAAATTTCAAAATGAACATGCCTTTCCAGAAATAAATATATAATTGATCCATTTGGTATTCCTGGCTGGTGAAGAGAAACACGATCGGATTCTTGAGCCTCATTCGAAGCAAAACTACATACGACCCTCCTATGGTCGAATTCGTGTCCTCGCAAGAAAGGCGACAGGGTTATAGGGAATATGCCAGACAGGAGCAAAGAAGGGTTAGAGAGCATTGGGGCTCGGATCTGCGAAGGCGTTCGTCTTCACGGATCCCTTCCACCACTTAATTTTTTTTTGGAAAGGCATACTTTGTTGACAGTAACTGGTCAAAAAGTGGCGTCTAGTTCAATTTTGGCGTTCATCTTTGGAGACTTACCCGTTAAAGATGACCTAACGGAGCCCGAAATGGTCCAGAAGCGGGCCTAGAGGATGATCATTTAGGTAAGGAGACAAAATTGAAAAGCAATAGAAGTGAGGCGGTTGTAGTCACTCGAGAGAAGGTTAGCAAGGGGGGGGGGGACCCTCATCCAGGCAGTCGAGAGCATTAAGGAAATCGATCAATTTGAGCGTTGTAGGTTTTCCCAGTTCGATAGCTGCAGCAGAACGAAAGGAAATCAACCGAAGTTAGAACCCCAGATGAGGCAAAGGTTGCGGTAGAACATATTAACTTGTAGGGTGGTGAACGCTTGAAATGCGTCAAGTGACGATGTAGTGGCTGCTCCACCCCGTGACCGAGACTTTGAGAAGAGGCTTCAGGCCTTCATCGACGGAGCAGAAAAAATGGAGTTGCGTAGGTGTAAGCGACTAAATAGTGGGTGACCAAGGGGCGCGGGTGGCTCCCACACAAATATTTATCTGGAAGAGGGGTAGACCTATCTCAGATAAGGAACGCTCGACCACGACCCAGGACGTCACAACGGGCGGATACGCGTCTCGACGCCCACAACCCATTCTCGAACCCTGAGTCAAGTATACGGTGACCAGTGAGACAGGGGCCGACGGAATGACAAGTCGGTTCACTAGCTCTCTTCGACTCTCGTTGAAGCTTCAATTGATCACGTGTGGTCACTTTTGGACCCCATGTAATATTTTTGGAATGATGCTGCAGCGATGACATCGGTCGTCTCGCATGGGAAGCAAAATTAAATCAATCGATTCTTAGTTCCTCTAGAAATGCAAATGAATTGAAAGAAGTGTGGTTAATGGCTTCCTCCTGCGATCGAATCCAAAAACATCGCGTCAGAGAATCTGCCAGATCAAAGGAGCACGGTAGAGGCACAAAATGCGATTCTCGTCGCATGAGGACCCCAATGAATTATTAAACCAGTGTATCTAGGAATTTCATTTTGATGGGAAATGAAGAAATGACCGATGGTTCCCCGCAAATCCCCTGGACGAATCGCTCTCATCATGAGATCACCTCATGATTTCGACAGTTCTTGGATGTCCTTTCGCGAATCCTCGTGCATTGTATACACATGCGAACGCGATCACGAGAAAGTAACTTTTCGAGGGCGTGCCACCCGGTGTTTCCTGCACACTCGGCGAACGGATTAATGCTCCACGGCACAGTTGAAATAACGATTGTAATTTTACAGAGATGTTCATGAAAGATTTTGTTTACCATTTCTGCCATGTCGGTAGGTGGCGTTGCGGTCGCACATGCAAAGGTCGCACAATCGAGGACGGATCGGGACTCGATCGAAGAGTCGATGCGGGATCGATTCGATCGGAGGCAAGTACGACGAAGCCGAGAGTGCAGCGACGCGTCGCGATGACTCGGCGTTACGTGATTGAAGCGAAGCAGACGATCCGCTTCGAGGCGGTCGGCCGTCGACTCCGATCACCGCTTCGTTCGCGGAGGCAACCGTGCGATCGTTCGGCGTCCTCTGGCGTGCAGGCTCGCAACGCTCGCTCGACCTGCAAAGCCATCGGGGAGGGACGGTGGAAAATCTTGTCTATCTGTAGTACCTTTCGGCTGGGTTTCGTCTGGATCCAAGAGTCCTTTTCGAACGAATTCCGTTGGTTTCTCAATTACGGCTCGGAATGTGGGGATCGATGGATCGTTTAAGGGAGACACGCTACATAGTCTAATGGAACTTAACTTCCAAGTTTTCCTAATTATTAAGTGACTTCACCGAATTTTTTGCTAAAGTTACCACTTCAGTATTAATATATGTCTCTGGAGAGGCCTTCGCTGCCTCGAGACTTACAAGTGCTTCCGCCATCTTGGTGAAGTCTCTCACGTGGGAATGAATAGCGTGATTGGTTGGGTCCCGGCGTGGAGGCCCCCAGGCATATAGCTCGGGAAATTTGCCTCTTTTGCCCTACCCCTCTCCATGTGTCTGCTATGAACTCCTTGCTCGTGCGACTTCAGAAGATGGCTGCCGCGCCTGGAAAAGTGCAGCGCCTCGCGCCATAGGGGAGGCCCCTCCATTATACACTCTCTATGGGGAGGACGCATCGTCTCCATCCGATTGAGCCTACCTCCGTGCGTCGGCCTTGACATGCCCCGAAGGTGATGCGTTCAGCGTTCGGGTTTCCACGCTCTCGTGTGAGAGGGCATCGCCTCCGAGCGCATTCACCTTGTCCCCCGGTAAGGGAGCCAGTTAGTCGCCCTTTCGTGGCTCGGGAATCGTCGTGCGATCGCTGCTCTCTGTTTTCGAGCACGGTTTCGAAGGTGTTCCTTCCTTTCGTGCACACGCTCCGGTTACGTCAGGTGCTGACTAAGCCTCGGCGTGCACGAAAGGGAAAACGGCGTTTAGGATCCACGTCCTTGCACGAGTGATGGAGGCGAACGTCGCTCGTGCGCCGATGTCATCTCTCAGGGAGGATGTTAAGGATGCGCACGATCCGTGCAAATGTTGGGATTTCCCATCCTTTTCAGGTCATGTTTACACGCGGGAGTGCACTCGCCAAAAATGACTCGGGACGTTCCACAGATCGCGAGAGAGACTTCGAGAGCACTTCCAAGAAATGGAGCATTAATCCGTTCGCCGATTGTGCTGGAAACACCGGGTGGCACGCCCTCGGAAAGTTACATTCTCGTGATGGCGTTCGCATGCGTACGCTATTAACGAGGATTCGCGAAAGGACA